GGAGTGTGTGCCTGCCCCGCAGGAGTGTGTGCCTGCCCCGCAGGTGTCTGTGTCTGTCTGCAGCCCTCGTACAGAGGGGCGGGGCAGATGCCCAGGCATGGTGCTGTCTCCCGGGCCTGGCAGTTAAGGGACACCAAATGGGGTCCTTCCTCAACCCAGCGCCGGGCGGCCCCTGGCAGCAGGCAGAGAGGCTCCCTGGTGGAGGGCAGCCGTCCCAGCTACCGACGCAGGTGCTGCCCGTGAGCCGGGCAGGAGCTCCAGACTGCTCAGCTGTCCTGTGGTGCAGGGGAGGGTTGAACCCATGGCTGTGCTCCTGGGCACGTGGATGGGCTTCCCTGCCCGGCCTTCGAAGCTGGGCGTCTTGTGACTTGTGCTGTCCGGAGTCCCCCTTCAAGTGAGGCTGCCAGGAGACGGGGACATCCTGGAGCTGAGGACGGTGTCAGCAAGCACGTCCTGCTGGGCCTCAGACCGTGTCCCTGCAGGCGTCGGAACCTCAGCGGGGTCCTCAAGGACAGGCAGGTTCTCACCCTTGCGGAGTTGGCTGGGGGAGGGAGGCCAGATGGCAGGGCCCCAGGCGGAGGCCCACGGCCTCTTGGCAGGGACCCGACCTCAGACCCCACACCCCCGAGGCACTCCTGCCCCATCCCTGGCCCCGGTCCCCCAGGAGTCTGCTGTCCCTGGCTCTGCGTGCCTGGGATGGCTGGGGCTCGAGTCGCTGCGTGGCTGAGGGCCTGCAGTGCGAGCCAGCAGCCTGCTGTGAGTTCTCTGTCCCCCGCCGGCCCCGCCTCCCCTCAGGCACAGCTCGGCGAGCAAGTGCAGCCCGTGGTGCGCAGCCGGGCAGCTCAGCCGCTTACATGCTGGGCGGCGGCACCAAGGTGGCGGTGACGGTGAGGTGAGCCTAGAAACAGCCCAGGGTGGGTGGATGCTGTAAAACCTGTGAGCTGGCTCGGGAGCCTGGCTGGAGGGTGCTCGGCCCTCCCCCTGGGCCCCGCTCCAGGCCTGTGTGTCATGCTCTGGGAGAGTGTCCTGCAGCGAGGGCCGAGTCCACTGTACATGGCCAGGGGGCCAGAGTGGGTGGTCGCCCAACTTAGGCCCAGCGCGGTGGCTGCAGCTGCCTTCAGGGAAGGTGAGCTCGGGTCTGCATGCGGCAGAGCTGGCAGACCCTGGTGAGGGAGGATGGCGCTGGGGCAGAGCTGCTTCCGGGCACCCCAGGCTTGAGCTCACCTCCTGGATGGTCCCTACTTTCCATTTAAGCCACTGTGGGGCCAGACTCTGGGGTCAGCGAGGGCCAGGCTTGGGCCGCTGCCTGGCTCATCCCTGTGCAGGCTTGAGCAAGTGACCACCACTCTGAACCTCGGGCTCCGCCCGTGTGCAGCACGACCAGGCCTCTCAGGGTGTTCTAGGGAGTCCAGAGGAGACGCCGAGGGCTGATCCTGGTGGATAGGAGGGGAACTGCCCTTTTGGGGCTGAGCCCATCGGCAGCCTGACCCTACATCACTGCCCTCTGCCCGCCCTGGCCAAGGTTCTTGGAGCACAATGCCCTACCTCCCTGCAAGCCCCCAGGCCCATGTGGACCCCTCTTCTTCCTTCTGCCTTCTGCTATCTACTGGTTTGGAGTTCAGTCCTGTAAACATTCCTATCTGCAAAATGGGTTCAGCCCTCATGCTAAGCAGATGATTTGACCTAAAGGCCATAATAACGTTGTAATGGGGAGAAATTAGCTTCTCAGGTGGAAAAAAATGTGGGTTCTTCTGTGGGGGCAATGTGGGGCTCGGGACCCATTGTCTTGGGGCTCCCTGAGCCCAGACCTGCAGGCTGGCCTTTACACACTGGGGTGTCCCCACCCTGGCTGGCCCCCTCCTGCCTGGAGATAAGGGGGCTTCCAGGCTGGCGGCTTCCAGGCTGGCGCTGAGGCCCCATTGGAGTGTCCGTGAGAAGCCTGCAGGGCTTCCTGCCTTGGAGGACACTGTGTCGTCCCCAGGGAGAGCCGGCCGCCTGTATTCCCAGGAGCCCCCAGCTGTCACTGTGGCTCCAGGCCCGTCTGTCACACCCACTAGGCCTCCAGCCTGAGGGCCCTGCTGGGTTCCCGCCATCCCCAGGGACGAGGAAGAATGTGGAGGGTGACAGGGCCACTGATGAGGAGCCCTGGGCCGACCAGCTGGCCGAGCAGGCCGCTGTGCTGTCCTTCTCGTTGTCCAGCAGGAGAGGGGCAGGAGGGGCTCGTCCAGACCTTGTGCCATGCCTGGGCAGCCGTGTGTCCGGCTGCACCCCGAAGGCCCTCTGACCTTCCTGCTGCACAGTGCCCCGCCCCCCACAGCAGCGTCCCCGCAAGAGTCTCTGAGGTCTTCGCGCCCTCCCTGGGTAACCCGCTCTCGGTGGGCCCGAAGAGCAGTCGAGTGACCAAAGCAGCCAGCCGGGCCACAGGTCAGCGCTGTGGCTGTCAGAGAGGGGCGGTGATGGGTCCAGAGTCCCAGTTGTGGTGTGGTGGAGGGGACAGGAGCCCCTGGTGACGTCCTAGTGGCCCGTGGGCCCCCTACACCAAGCCCTGTGAGCTCCGCTGTTCATGTTTGGCCCCAGCCCCGCCTGGCATCTTGTGGACGTTTAGCAAGTGCCTGTCCATGTGGCCCAGTGGTGCAGCCCCGTGTCGCCATGCTGAATTCATCCACAGCATGGCGGTGCTAAGAGGTGGCCTTCAGGGGGTGACAAGGACCGGGTCAGCCGGCATGCATTCGCCTTCTGCTGTGTAAGAGCGACAGGGTGTCCAGGTGCAAGCTTGGCTGACTTGGGCTTGGGCTTCCGGCCTTGAGCTGTAAGCA